AGCGAAGCGGTTGCATGAACAAGGGCAAACGCTGGCGGCGCTGGGTCTGAATTGCGAAATATCTTGGAAGTGTAGGAAGCCAGACGATTTCCGTTGATTTTGAACGTACTTGGTCTTGTCTCCGCCGACCTTTTCCACACCAACACCGCGCACGTACGTATACTGCACTCGTCATATGCATCATGCACGTGGTGACATAATTCGCAGAGCTATCGCTGTATGTACCGAGCCTGTTCATCATCAGCTACATCAAAGTACATGTAGGCCTATTGTCAGATAAAATGTGTAACGTTCAACTTTAAAGTTGAACTTTTTTGCGTTAAGCTTTACTTTAGGTTCATATGTTTCATCGTCAGACAGTAAATGCCGTGTGCTGCTCCCAGAATGGACAACCTCATTGTACAAGCAGTTGGATCCGATGCCGAAAAGAAGAAGACCAAAACTAAGAGAAAGAAGCATAAGGTGAGTAGTCATATGAAGCAAACTATAGTATGGGCTAGAAATGGGACAGAGAGAACCCTCTGCCTTTGTGTTGGTCATTGTTATACTGGTAATCTCAGGAATTCTTTTCAGACATCTAGGGGGATGTTTTAAGTAACAATGATAGGCTGGAGTGTGTATCTATGGGATTGGACTTGTTGGGGGTACCCCTGGCCCTCTGTCCCATTTCGTGCCTGGTATAAGTACAGTACTACTACCATGACCACTATGCCCCACTTACGTGTATACATGTGGGGTACCCCCAGTACTGTGGGGTCCGCTCTGCTCCCCAAAACCCCACAGAAAGTGAGCCTTTCTCATCACAGGCTATGCATAACGTTTAACAGGGCACAAACGGGGATTCCATTCTAGTTGTGTACCCATAGAAATGCTGCTTCATTTCCTTCCAAGAGTTTAATGTAAAATAGCTTACACACCTTTGTCATTGTTTATTTTGGAATCAGGTCAACTCGTACCCAGGATAACTTGTACCCAGGTCAACTTGTACCCCAAAACTCCAGCCCAAGTCAACTCGTACCAAGGTCATCTCATATGCTGTACGTTAGAATAGTGCTGCAGCCAAATTGCCAAACCGAACCAAAAATCGTCGAACATTGAACTTTTGAACAGAACTGAACGAAACTGGTCAGTTTGGATGTTCGGTTGTGATATTGCATGACATTGGTAGCGCACGGAATGCATGCAAGGGTACGAGTTGACTAGGGTACGAGTTGACTGGGGTATGAGTTGACCTGGGTACATGTATGAGTTTTCACAGGTACGAAATGACCCAGATTCTTTGTTTTGAGTACCAAGAAAGAAAAGGGCCCAAACCATGCCGTTTTAAAAAAAAAGTGCAAATATTTCCTGATCAGTGTTTGAGAGTCATGCGGTTCACATGTGTACATTTCATGAAGACAAGCTGCGACCAAATGGTTGACTACGGCTGTGATTGTTACACAAGACGTGGAAATTGGCTGCAGCCACTTTCCGTACATGTGTGTGTAATTCTTAGCCACGCTGGTTGAAATGGTGGTTGGCTACAGCACGTTGGGGGTCACACTGACCAATCACAGGGCTCCTCATTATTTATGCCCAAATTGAAGGAAGACAAGCAACAGTCATTCGGTACCAGTGCATGTGAGCGCACTGTCGCACAGTGAACACTTCCTATTGAGCTTGGGGCCTAGCTGCAGACAGGCAGCGGGCTTCGTGTACGCAAAGCACGTGAGCTCTCCATTCTGGGCAGCAATATTACGAACGGCAAATAACCTGGTCTAATCATAGCAAAATGAATAAAATGCCACTAGAGGATTCCGCAAAGGCAACTTTCGAGTTGTATTCGAAAGGAACTGATGAGCTTTAGGCATTGATGGACATGTGTTGTTTTGAACGGAATTACCATATTTGCTGTATTGTGTAAGATTTTAAAAACACATGTCAAGATTACATTTACATGTATATTTACTTCGGCACACAAGATAATGTCCTGGATAAAATGTTATTAAGTAAAGTGTATTTCAACCAAAAAACTCAAGTGCATGGTCCTGAACCACAATCGTACATGTATTTAATGGCGTGCGTGGTAATTACATGTATGTTTGAACATGCGCATAAGTAATTGGATTTTTGTAACCTGAGACCAGGCGAGAAGCTATGATTCGTCCACGATTGTGATGTCACTATGTAAACACATGTACATGTAGACTGTTTCCGCGCAAAAAAAAAAACGAACTTCGAACGACAATGTTGGTATTCATAAACTGGATTTTTTTTTCAGACTTTGTTACCAGTTGATGTAATTTTTCATTGTTGTCACTAACGAGCTAAGTTTTTTTGCTTGGAAAGTTTGGTCGATCTCTGTTAAGTTCACGTGCAATTGAATATGGACTTACCTGTGCATTGTAGAATAGGCACATTCACGTATGTTTCACCCGTTTCGAGATAAGCCAATATCTCATTTATTTGGAGGCTTCAAAACATGAAGTACTTAATTGGAACTAACCGTTCAAGATTCAGTATCATTCCTAAGTGCCTATTCTGATTTTATTAAGCATTTCAGTTGTCTTTTTCCCTGTTTTTTTTTGTCCTTTTCAAAACTCTAACTGTGCCTCCGCATAAATGCAGCTGCAGTTGCCCATGAAAAAAGAAACATCTTGGAAATTAAATAAAGAACAATTTATAAAATAATGTTTTGATCTGCTGTAACTTCATGATGATCGTTAGAAACCAGCAGACTTTATTTCCAAAGATAATGAGGAAGCTTAGGCAGAAGCTAAATTGAGTCTTTTGATGATTTATTGATAATGAATCAGTAAAGAATTTACACATCTCATTTTTAAAAATTAGAGCACTTTCTAAAATGGGTCAAGTTTTCTTGTGTTTAGGGTCATTTTTAAGGCTTGTTGCTCAACTGCAGTCAAGAAGGCTCAAAGCGGACTTAAACCATAAAAATTTGCATAAAGACAAATAATGACACTTTATCATGTTTATCTGAGTTTTGTTACAGAAATTTTGACTTGGGGGTTCTCAGTGGATGCTGCTATTAAATTCCTTTTTGAAACACCATCATTTTTTTCAACTTTTATGTTCTCACTTCAGCAACGCCACTGCATGCAAAATAACTTGATAGCACATGTTGGGAATGTGGACATCTAAATGTTCACTATTTTCTAGTCAAACATTGATTGGTAATAACTTTAAAAAATTAGATAAAACTTTTCAGCTTAATAAAAATGTCCTTCATCACAAAGTGCTTGATCCCATTTTGCACAAAGCTTGAATTCTTTCAGAAGCATCCTTGAAGGTCCAAATCATTCACTCAGGCATCTCGGCATCTGTTATTGTCTAACTGAAAAGGATACAAAAACAAGAACACTCAATCAAAAGGATGTGACAAATACTGGTTGGCACGTTTCTCCTTATTTAAAGATTTACTTATTGTTTCATATGTCGGAATCAATTCAATTCAAAACCAATGAGAATAAATTTTCCTTATGATTGTTGTGTTGGATGCAAGGAAATGCTGCCTTTATCAACTGTCTCTGCAGATAGCCATTGCAATAAGCTCTTGTCAAAGAAATTTTAACAATCACCTGTCAGCCCGAAGTCATAAATATAGGTGCTAACTGATGTGCATGATGTATTATCGGACGTTCAGCACACACCTTAAAACATGTTAATACATGTACATGTAAATAGTTGCTGACAAAAAACATTTAGGCCTAAGCTA